ATGTACTTCCCAAGCCAGATACTGCATCTGGATCAAAGTGTTGAACAGCTATTAATGGACCTCTCCTCTGTTAATTTACATCCAGCTGTACTTTTGGCCCCTGCAACATCCTGGCAATGAATCTGACAGTTCAGTTGCACACTGCATGACAAAGTACTTCCTTCTGTTTGAGTTTGCTGCCTGGGTATTTCTCTGGATGCCATCAAGGTTTTGTACCATCATTCCCAATTCATTTTCTCCATACCATGCAAGATGGAAAAGAACTTTCTCCTAGTTTTCCCTACTCCTCCTAGAAATATAGCTTTTTCAGCCAAAGATATTTAAGCTAATTATCTTCACCTCACTGAAAGCAGTGCTGTACTGCAGCAAGGTCTTCTCCTCCATCTTTTATGTTTACTCTCTGCATTTCCAAAATGGGTGACTAGAACTTCACATGTATTTCAGGTCCAGATAAATATTAAGTTCAGTCAAAAACTGGTCTTTTAGCAATACTGGCAGTACTGTTTAAGAAAGTTTGGAAAATACTCATCTAGAAGGGAAACCTCCTAACCCAGAGCCCTGGGGTCAAGGAAACCTGGTTTTGTTTTGTGAAAGTAAAGTCACACCCCTTGAGCCAGAAGAAGTCTAGCGGTACACTTACTTTAAAGGTTGCAAAAATAACAGATTGTGTGGCACTAATGAAGCTCCATTTTGTATGGATTAGAGTTTCATGGACTTGCTAGCATCATTGAAAATACAGGACCCATCATGGCAGCTAAAGTGCTGATAAAGGCTCTCTCCCATGTAGCTCATCAGACCAAATCCCCTCCTTTTATTCATTTAGACTTTGACAGCATCTCTGTTCTACCCTGACTTCTCTTTCATACTGTTTCTCTCCTTAAAAACAGTTCAGATCAGCCAACAGGAATAAGGCTTATTGGACAAAGATCAGTAAGACCAACAGCCAAGTAGTATAAAGCCTGATTTATTCTAGAAACTACACTAAAACAGATCTTCCCTGCAACACTGGAGCAGGATTCCAGAAGTGCTTAACAAACCTGTTGTAGAGAAGGGACGTGGAAGAGGGTCTAAAGTAATCCAGCAGTTACTTCTCTGATGCCCTTTACTTCAGGGAAAGCACTACATTTGGAAGTTTGAATGCTGCTTCTACAGGAGTCAACTCATAGTAACTCCCAAAAACCAGGCAAACTCGCACTTCCCTATGTCAGCAGG